CTGCCATCGTCGGGTCTCAAACCTAGGACCTCCCGGGTTGAGAATAATTTTTCGGAATTTTCGAAACAGCAGGAATTTCAACCAAAAGTAGATATACACCATTCTCTTGAGCATCTTTTACGCTACCCGAGGAATTAATCAAAACATTTGGAGACATTTTTAGAAAATTTTGAAAATGTTGACGCTTTATATAAAGTTCCCTCTAAAATAAAAAATATCCGTATGAAATTCAGAGAGCCTTGAGTTCTTTTGAATTGACTGGGGAATATCAATTTTGAAGAAAATCGGCTGAACGGTTTAAGCGCTAGCGTTGACTACAAACGACAGGGACAGACAGCCCTTTAGCCGCGAATCTATTTTTCGGTATCCACAAAATATAGATTCTGACTATATAGTGTGTGGATAAATTTTGTTCGTATAAATAGTAAATCACTTCCTCTAACAATTTCGTTACCGCGTCCGGTAACAACATATTTTATGTCGAAAATCTGCCATTTTTCGGTACACGATTACAATATTTTCTCTTCTTACGAACGTATTGGGCAAGAAAGTAAAAAAATCAACAGGATCAATTGGGTAATTAAAAATAATGAGGAATACCAAAGAAGAGATGGATACAACAGGAAGACCTATGGACGGAGCTGGATAACTGAGTCTACTACACAGGGGACATTGCACACTTACATCCCCTCCCCCAATAATGGCAATTTTTGGGGAGTCAAAATCCTGTTTTGAGTGTCTTTGATCCCCCAAAACTGCTTAAGCCTCCGACCATCCGTTTGTGAAAAATGCTAGAGCCTAAACTGTAAGCAGTTGTAATTTTTACCAAATATGATATTCCCCAATCGATCTAACTGATATTACGGCTCTGTGAATGTGGGTGGGGGTGGGGGTGGGGAGACACGAAGAGAGTGAGGAAGAAAGAGCAGCACAACGTTTGCCGCGTATTTTTTTATTCATTCATGTACATTTTTTTAAAAATATTAGTAGTTTTCGCGTAATTTTGAGTAAAATATGGGCAATACTGCAAACAAGATTTTCTAAAAAACGGCACCATATTTTTAACTTTCTTGCTACTTATCAGCGAAGAGAAAGTATTGTAATGCTACAGGAAAAAAGGGAGAATTTTCGACAGAAAAAATATTATTGCCGAGCCCTGTCAACGAAAACGTATCCCTAAATTACTTTCTCTAACACGTGAAGTCAGAATTAATGTTCTGTGGGTTCTTGATACCGAAAATTGATTGACGGTGAAACGTCTGTCGTATATCTGTCTGCCTGTCTGTCTGCATGTCTGTGAACAACGCTATACTGCGATTTATGCATTTCTGCCCCAGGCAGGTATCAGTTGCCGTTTCATCCAATCGGCAGCTTGAACGTCACAAAAGTGACGTCACTATGGTGACGTTCAGGCTCCCGATTGGCTGTAACTGTCAATAGCTGATACCAGCCAGGGGCAGAGTTGCGAAAATAATAGTATAGTGGCTAAACCGTAAGAAGGATTTTCACCAAAATTGATATTCACCGAACGATCTAGCAGATGTTGCCCCTTGAATTTGAAATCTATATTTTAATTTTGACGTGTACTTTACATAAGCCCCTAGGACATTTTCAAATTTAAAAAATAGCGCAATCGATTTTGATTAAATTTTGTTGGTGGATAGTCTGAAGGACCTTTAAGAGAATGATGTAGGTCTCATATTGCGCTCAAACGTAACTCAAAAACGGCTCCAATTTTTTCTTTAAACTTTTCGAATGGATAGTGCTTATTGCACTCTTTAATCCGATGTAAAGTTCATTTTTCTTAAAATTACACAAATGTAATTTTTTGAAAGAAATCGAAGATTTTTTAAATACGGCTACGAATTTTTTCTTTAAACTTTTGGTAGGGATAGTGCTAAATGTACTCTATGAGATTACATAAACGCCGTATTGATCTATTCTTTCGTTTTTTCAAAAGTTATAAACATTAAAGTTTTTTACTTCTCTCACGTAGTTTATATTTACTGTAATGAGACGGTCGTAAGCGTCAGGTTGCGACGCGCAGGTCAATATTTTATTCAATAAAACGGTGTAAGAAGCGTCGTGGGAGCATACAGCTCTAATGTCCTAACAGGGGCGCGCCCCGGACGCATCCGCTGACTCATCAGGAAATACGGACGCCGCCGTCTCACAACCCGGCAATTCAACAGTACCTGTTTTTGAAACTTGGATGACGTTCAAGTGTCAACAGAATTTGGCGGGACTCTGACGGTCATCAATGACGTCGCGATTGGGTGAAAGAAATCGCGTGACGCGCGTCCGCCAATCGCGGAAAACGAAGCGGGGGAGGGCCACGTGACCCGCGAAGCTGAGGAGGTTGCTGCAAGATGCAAGCTCGGTCATTCCGAAAGAGGAGACGACAGCGAGTGGAAGTGCCTTTCTGATGTAGGGACGAGGGCGAGTTTGAGTGGCTTACGGCAGTAGCCAAATGACATCAGTGGATGCATTACCACATCGCCGCCCGAATGCATCATCCGCCACGTCGCGGACCGCCCCTGGGGTCGCTAACTACAGACGAACGCCACGGGCCATGACTGTGGGTGCCCGACCGCGAGCCCAGGACTGACGACGGGCCGAGGCGTAACCACCGCAGCCGCAAACCGCGTCGCCGATGCCCGGACAAGCGTTTCTGGTGACCGTGGACTACACCACGCTGCCTACCGCCGCAGCCGGCGCCTGACCCCACCGCCACTGACCGCACTGCGCCTAACACCAGGGTGAAGGGCCGCCGCTACCATAACCGGGGTCCTGACCGCGGGGAAGGACGCCGCCCTGCCTCCAACGATGAACTCTGGCCCGTAAGGCCGAATTTAAGATAAGCTAGATAGTTTTAAGGAATAATTATAACGGGCGGCTTCATCTCACGCAAAGGGAACATTAAATATACCTTTGAAAATACCACGTGTTTCAATTCAGTATTATAACGAGAGTAAGCCCTATTACGCATGCCTCCTTTTAAGGAGTCTACGGACTGAGCAGCCGGGGCAACGCTGGATCGCTGTAACCAGGTAATCAGGTGAGGCGGAGCAGCCACACGGTGTGTGTGGTTACATTACATTAGAGGTGATTTGTTCACGTTGTTATATTTATGAGAATTTTTTGGACGACTTGACGGAATTTTTTGACACTTGAACTTCTTTCAGGCCATTAATATGCACATTTGCAGCAATTTGTAAACAGTATTGTACTCGCAATTTAAAGCGCTTCAAATTACTTATTTAAAGTTTTCGAAAACTCAAAATTTTTCGGTTTAAAAGAGGTTTAAATTTCGAATTTACAACAGCGCTTCAACCCTATGTCCTTAAAAACGATTCCAAATTTTTCAAATAAAATTCCCATTTAGGGCGAGGTTTTACTGCTCTTAAATATTCTTAAAATTATGTTTCTGTTCTACTATTAGGAAACCGACAAATTGAGAAAATTTCAAAAAAGTACTTTAGGTGGCGACAGCTGGCAGCTGGCAAGAGTATATGGCAAGTTCGAATATCTAGCCGAGACCAAAGGAAATAAAAAACTAATACGGGCAAGTATGCGCCATTCTGTATCACCACTAGTTGAAGTTGTAATTGAAGTGCGAATTTTTGCCATTTTATATCCAGTGGTGAGGACACTTCAAACTGCGCTATATTCGTGTGTTGGTGACCATCAAATATTACCAATATTAATATTCAATAAATTCAGTCACTCCATGAACACCATAATCATCCCTCATCCCTTTACCATCACCAATCATCAATCAATCCAATGAACACCATCAATACCGATATTAAATTCTTGAAAATATACATAATGCCGTCAATTGTCATTACGTCTCTTCTAGTCCTGAACGCTACCTATCGGGCGAGAGAATATTAAACGGTGGCAGTTGCACTACTCTCGGCACGTGGGGACTCTAGAAGCCAGGAGGTCGGCGCGCTGCTGCTGGGGCCCGGTCGGTAGTGCGGGCGCCGCCATAGGGCCGCCGCGCCGCGTCCGGGTGCGGAGGGGGGCGGGGCGGGGGCGGCGCCCGCCGTGGCTGCGGCGGCGGTGCCTGCTGCTGCCGCGTGTGTGTCTGGCGCCGGGTTATTATGGTTGTCCGGTGTGCGAACGCTCACCACATCACAGACGCGCAGGAAATGTACACACGCGCGTCTGCTTTGCCCCCCCTCCCCTGCGTGGCGACGCGCCACCTCCGCTCGTCCTCTGGGGAAGGGAGGGGGGCCGACAAAATAACAATGATACCCCACCGCCCCGCTCCGCTGGCTGCACCCTCGCTGCCCGAGGACAGACCTGCCTCGCTCCCCGACCCTGGTCTGTCCAGCCGCAAGGGGAAGACGGGAACGGGGGAGGAGAGCGGTGTTGGACGGGTGAGTGTGCCTAGTGTGCAATTTGTCGCAAGAGAGGAGCGAGGCGATCGGGCCTCGGTGGCGACCCGGGCGGGGCCGGGAAGTGCTTGGAAATGCGGATGAAACGGAAGGGGAAAAATGTGACAGTGGTTGGTAGAGTGTGAGTTGTAAGTCACGAGAAATATGTAACAAGAAGCCAGCGATATGGGACAGCAAAAGTTAAAACCAAGAGCACTAAAATATTATTACATCTGAGGTAGAGAGCGGATATCTCGCTACTTGCCCAATGTCTATCCTACCGGTCTCTTATGTAATATTACCTAATTATCTGAGAGTTAGCTATGATCGCGAAATTACGATTGAGATAACAAACATCGAAATATGAAGGAGCGAATATCGCGTGGATGGTGGTCGCGTTAAATGACAGTGAAAGAATGGCGATATGGAGGACGAACGGTGAAAGATACGAGAGCGATCGTTATGACGGCGAACCCGAACTTTGTGTCTTTCACCAAATTCCGAAAATGATTTGTGTCACGGTGTCCGAGGGAAAGGCCAATTAACTACTGGAGCATGGCCAGGCGGGGGGGGGGAGGCCCATCCATCGCCGCGGAAATATACGTCCCTACGCACCGTAAAATGTTAACAGCCCGTATCGTCGCTTCTCAGGCCTCGCCTGCCCTAGGGGAGGTGCAGTTTGCCGAGGCGCGAGGGCGTGGCCGTCTAGATCGAGACGCGCCAGGGAAGTGTGCGATGTCAAGGCCGCCGGGTGGTGCGCCGTCGCGGGGAACGGAGGATGATGCGGCATCGAAGAATCCGCAGACTCTGCCCGACTAGGGCTCGCCGGGCACGGCGTTTCGCGGTGCGGAGGCGCGGGACTTGTGGGCAGGGACTATGCGCGGACATCCACTGATTGGAGCCTGCTACCTGACTGGCCCGGACTCGTCCACGCACGGTATGTCTTGCTCGCATGGCGAGTCGAGCTCTCGTGCGGGGCGCGGGCAGGGCGGCGGGCGACGGGCGGGCGACGCGAACCGAGGCGGCCAGTGGGTCCGAGGCGGGCGGGCCGCGGGATCGCAGGCATCGCTGCGATGCGCCAGGGACGCGAGCGGGGCAGGGACGGGACGGGCGGACGGGGCGGGAGGGCGGGAGGCGGACGGGGGCGGGGTGGCGGGGCGGGGCGGACGGGGCCGGGGAGGGGCGGGCGGGAGGGCGGGCCGGCACGGTAGCGGTCGGTGAGGAGCGGGGGGTCGGCTGCGGAGGGCGGGGCGGGCGATGCGGAGCGGGCGGTTGCGGAAGCGGAGCGGCGGCGTGACGAGCCGGTGTAAGGGCGCGGTGGTGGTGAGGGCGGGTAGGGTGGTGAGGGCCGGGTAGGTGGTGAGGGCGGCTGCTGAACGTAGAGGTGTGTGAGGGGCGAGGGTCTAGGTGGTGAGGGCGGAGGTACCGGGGCATGATGGGGGGCGGGCGCTGTGGGCGTGCGGCAGGCACTGCATAGCCCCCCCGGGGCGGGCGCAAGGCACGCTCTGCTGGGCGGGCGCGCACCGATTGTGCGCCGTTAGCGACGTGTGCATGCGCATCCGCTCAAAGGGACCTGCTCGACCCCCCTCCCCCCGCCCCCCGTGGAAAAAGCGGGCGAGGCCACTTACAAAAAACCCTGCGGGAAAGGAACACATTGCGGAAGAGTGCGCGGGGGCAGATGAGGGGGGCGACGGGAACGGAGGGGACAATGCCAACCACTGAACGCTCTCTGAAAATCACGTCACTTTGACGATATCTCGGCAGATATCTCAATTTTGCTCAAAACATTAGTTTGTGTACTTTTATCTGCCAATCTTTTGCCAGTATATAAATGACCTTACTATTATTTCACACAGAATGCGGATTCAGGATGTTTCTGTACTCTTTAAACTATAATGAATTAGTATTGTTCTCTTTTCTCAATGTTTCGAATGCTCCCTTCCTCATTTAGAAGGATTCGGTTTGTGAAGAAGCGTCTGGATTTTACAGCGATGGAATATTTGAAAGCATCGTAATTAAATATTCAGACATTGAGGTTTAACAATTCTACTACCTTCAACGACACATCTCATGTGTGTGATATTTTGCAACCTGTGTCTTTTCGCAAGAATGAGGTGTAAGCTGTAAAAATAATGAAATAAAACAGTGAAAATGTAACAAATGATCCCTTTAGGTACAAAGAACATAAGTTTTTTTCGAGAATATATTTATATTTTAATGATTCTTATGTTCTTGAAATATAGTTGTTATGAAATTGTTGCTTCAAGTTGAAACGAAATAAAGAAATGTCAATTACTGTTTCAGATAGCATTAGTGTCTGATCAAAATCGTGATGTAACGATGTTTCTGAAAGGAAATGTGCTTCAAATACTACAAAGTACGACAGTAAATATATTTTTACTCAGACACTAGTAAATGTTCTTTCAGGATATGTGTAGCGAACTAAAGTTCAATTTTTAGCACCAGTGTTAAAAGTGAGATAGTGAAGTGTTCCGATAAATCCATGAATGCAGCAAAGGAAACAAAATACTTTCGGCTTACGTCTAATCGGATCAAATACTACTAATATTGAAAGAAGTGTGTGACACACGTGGTAAATGTGATTTTATTTTACTCGTAGGAATGCTCCGGTCGGCCTACCGACTTCGTGTCTCAACCTTTCCTTCTCACAAAATAAAATGTCACTTGTACCACTCGTATAATAAATATTTATTACCACGGTACTGTTATTATCGAATTAACGCAATTTAACAGCAAACAATGATAAGAATTTAACAGCCCACCGAACATTAAGAACAATTAAAACAAAAGAGTTTTAGTAAAAGATATTGTATTAGTTCGTTATTCCTAGAAATTATACATATTGAGCGTGTGATATTTTTTCTTATAATGAAAGTATTGAACGACAAATAGCCAACAAAATAAAAGAACAGACTCCTCCCCAAACAGGTCTATCGTCTCGGTTTAAAAACTTGCCACCTCTTACTTGCTTTTTTTAGCATGTAACTTTTTCAATTCAATCTGATAACTCGATTTATAAATGTTACATTTTCAGAATAAATATCTGAGAAAAATAATTATATTAATGCTCAATTATTGAGAAATAATATTAATTTGAAATTTAAAATTTGTAATAATTGCTTCACATAGTGTGTATTTTTCTCCAGAAACGTCAGTAATACTTCAAGCACTAGTGCGCGATTGAAGTGCTTCGAGTTCCTGTCGTTAATTTGTCCACAGTCGCTCGCTGGACATGACCGGCTCATCATCACCTGCCAGGAAGAAATTGAGGGGCGAGTGAATGCACGAAATTAATAGAGCTCAACTCAACGCGGACGGGGAGACAGTCGTAGTGAATGCCGCCTGTTCCGGACAGTTAGCGCGCGCAATGAGGCTCGTCCACAGCGCGCAGATGCGGCTGACAACCGCACAACGACTCGCAACAGGTCGGGCCGATCGCCCCGTCAGCGACACTCGCCGGCGCGGCCGACGGGCGCGCTACGCCGCGGCGGGCGCTGCGCCGCCCTCGCTGCCAGCCGCCTCGCTCCCCTACGTGTCGCTCGCTCCAACACTTGGTTGCTCTCCCGCACGCGCCGCTCGCTCCCGCACGCGCTCGCTCGCTCCCGCACGCGCTCGCTCACTCCTGCACGCCAGCTCCCCTACGAGCCGCTCGCTCCAACACTCGGTTGCTCTCCCGCCCGCGCTCGCTCGCTCCCGCACGCGCCGCACGCTCCCACACGCGCTCGCTCACTCCTGCACGCCAGCTCCCCTACGTGCTGCTCGCTCCAACACTCGGTTGCTCTCCCGCCCGCGCTCGCTCGCTCCCGCACGCACCGCTCGCTCCCACACGCGCTCGCTCACTCCTGCACGCCAGCTCCCCTACGTGCCGCTCGCTCCAACACTCGGTTGCTCTCCCGCCCGTGCTCGCTCGCTCCCGCATGCGCTCGCTCGTTCCTACACACGGTTGCTCTCTTCCGCACGCGCTCGTTCGCTCCTGTAGCGGTCACTTGCTCCCGCACGCGCTCGCTCGCTCCGTTCGCGCTCACTCGCTCCCATACGCGCTTGCTTGCTCCCTCACGAGCTCGTTCGCTCCCGTACGCGCTCACTCGCTCCCCTTCGCGCTAACTCGCTGCCTCACGAGCTCGTTCGCTCCCGTACGCGCTCACTCGCTCCCCTTCGCGCTCACTCGCTGCCTCACAAGCTCGTTCGCTCCCGTACGCGCTCACTCGCTCCCCTTCGCGCTCACTCGCTCCCGTTCGCGCTCACTCGCTCCCGTTCGCGCTCACTCGCTCCCGTTCGCGCTCACTCGCTCCCGTACGCGCTCACTCGCTGCCGTACGCGCTTGCTTACTCCCTTACGCGCTCGTTCGCTCCCGTACGCGCTCACTCGCTCCCGTACGCGCTCACTCGCTCCCGTACGCGCTTACTTGCTCCCGCAAGCGCTTGCTCGCTTCCGTACCGAAATCTGTAAATTAAAGACCAGCTGTAAACTCCTATTGAAAATAATACAGCGTTTGATATTAAACTTAAGGTATCGGTTCACAAAGATATTCAATACCTAAGCAATGTTTGAGCAAATTTCCCAGGTATTGAAGTGAAATCTAAGCAATTTTTTTTCTAAAGGCAACAAATGGTATTTATTACTCAAAGGTGAAAGTATTACTTTTATTATTTTTGGCTCGGTATCGCTTTTCGTGAGATACGTAAGAAAGCAGAAAATAATACAATTTTTTTAGTGCACAAATAACTTTTGAACCCTAGCAAATTGGCGCTCTGCCCCTCCACAACCTCCTCTTATTCCTCATAACAAATCCAGGAAAGTTAAATAATATTGCAAAGAGTAGGGTTGTACTTGCCCGATCAAGTATTTTCGCATGGAAAACTTTACTTGGCTTTCTCAAGAGTAAAAACCTTTTCTAATATTGTTCGTTCGTAGGCTTCTGCGGCCGGAGTCAATACATTCTTGGTTATCGGGATGTGCCGCGTCTCGGTCAATTGTCCTGACGTTTCGGACATCTTGCTGTGGTCTCCTTCAGAGCTATGCTCTAATATTTTATCTCTCTTTTCTAATATTTTTATGACTATCAAGGCCAGCGAAAAGCAAACTATCAAGGCACTTCAATTTTTTGTAAGATAGTGTGAATTGTTCGAATAACATATCTCTATAACACTGTATAAATCTTTATTGAAAATTTGTTTACAACGTCAATTGCAGTTTTTTACTTAATATTGTGTAAGTACGAAGTTACATGTATACATTTTTTGACAAATAAACACGTATCATTAACAACCTTCATTCTTAATGGAAAGAATACGGAAATGGATAGGAAAAGGGTTGGGATTAACATGCAAGAGTTCTCGCACGGGTACCCTAGTTTATTTAGATTATATTAAATATTTATATTACATATAACGTACAAAATTTCTACATACGCTCCACCAAAATATCTCAAATTTCTACATCCCCTAATCGCACGTTAAAGAGCCTAATTAGAGAAAAAATAAAATAAGATAAAATAGTAATATTATAATATTGGCTTAGCTCTTTCGGCAATAGAAATGTCGAAGAGAGAAATCAATCTCAAATTTCATACAAAAGTTGCTTCAGCTTTTTGGCAACCAAAAGATTTTTCGTCTAAAATGTAAAATAATATCGTTTTTCGGTGTACAAAATTTATACTACACCATTAATATTTAATTATCGTACTTAAAATACCTAACAAAATGTATAGAGGTTACGTGAGTACTTAAACGCGTAGTCTACAGAACGTCACCAACTTCCTTTAAATAC